TATAAACAATTAATCATGGTTTATAAAAACTATTAATCATGGTGACATATCATTATCAGGACAATCTTACATTATATAATTTTATATAACAAAGACAGTAGCTGTCTTTAGATATCATTCATTACCACTCCATTGCTTGCTTGAATTCCTGTATTATAGTGCCATGATTGATAGCATTTATACCTTCCGCACAGGTGGAAAAATATTTGCTATATGTGCCTGTAGATACTTTTTACAGATAAGCCAATTTAAATCTGCATATTTCCTAGCACTGGAAATGGAAAGAATGGGAAGTAACAAGAAAATCTTTTGTTATTAATTGGTTATTTCCAGTGGTGGGATTCAAATATGTGAACTACCAGTTCTCTGTGTGGATGCCGCTTCTGGAAGTCCATTCTGGGCTTGGGCAACAAAAAATTAGCTACCGGTTCTGCCGAACTGGTGCAGACTGGCTGAAACCCACCACCAGTTATTCTTTGTGTTAGCAAGATCATCTTATGTGCTTTTTTTATGATCTGCAGAACAGCCTGACACCCCAGTGCTGTTTACCTGTCGAGTCCAAAGCAATATTTGCCTGCCAAAATTTAAGCAAATTTACTTTCAAACCTTGTTTGACATAAAGGCAAAGCACATAATTCCTTGCAGTGTTTGTTTACTTTGCTTCATACAAATGGTTTATATCAATTATGCAGATTAAAATATGATCATAAATTAAAAAATAGAGGAGGAACAAGATGAGATTTTTTTTTCTCCCGAGCTTTGCTGAAGAAACTATCAAAGGGGGGGAAAATGGCAGCTATAATATTTTAGAACATTTGTCTCTTGCAACAGCTGCAGCTCTTTGGGGGAAAACAAACAGCCATCATGATCCATGTCTTCATCATCTTTCAATTAGATTACAGTGAATACACTTTACAAATGGCTACCTTTGGTAAATGGCGGTACTTATGACCATGACTGACCCTGGAATTATAAGTTGTCTTTAGGTGAGACAATCATGTGGCCTCACTTAATGATCACAATCCTGGCTCTCCCCATTGCAGTCATTAAGCGGGTGAGGCCAAGCTCTGTACTGAAACACTTCCCCAGTCACACAGGGCCTGCCCTGGGCCACCCAAGGAATCCCTCACCCTCTGAGGTAGCCCTCACACAGCTTCCTGCCCCAATGGGTCCCACCTTCTTGGGCCTCTTCCCCCCATAATGCCTTGCTCCACTTATCTTTTCTGAAGATCATCTTTCCCAATGATAAGCACTAGGTGGCCTTCCCATTCAGAGGCTGTGTTGTGCTATCCCAAATGGGCACCAGTTTAGGAGTGGCTGAAATTCTCGCAAACTGAATAATTGTGGCCACTTTCAAAATGGCAGCCACTTCTGGGCACCACATGTCCTCTATCTAGAAAGGTTATATGGCACATCGGCTGCTTCTCCTTGAGAAAGGCATTATGATTTTCACTATTAGATACCCTTTTACTTTGGAAACAAAGTACATTATATCTAGATTTCTTAAGTTCATCAATCGTTTAATTAAATTGCAACAATTCAGCAATTGATGGTGGAGTTGATACCAGAATGTTTCAAAATGTGAACTCATCTGCTCCGCAACAAAATTTTATTAAAACATGCCTTATTTCGTGAGATAAAAAAAAAAAAAAACTATTGCTGTTTGAGATTTTTGACTATCAACTATATTTTTATTTGTCCCTAAAGGGGCTAAATATTCACAAGATGAAAACGTCAACTTTTCAGTTTTCCTTCTATAGCTTTTAGGTTTTAAAACATCTAAAATACATAAAATATGCATTACGTTTATCTTTTTTTCTTAACCTTGTATGATCTGTATGTGTCAGGTCCCCAAAGAAATGTATTTTAATCCTATGCCAATTTTCCCTTTTCTGAAGCCTTTCTTTGCGGTCTGCCATTCTGTTGGGAGGGGGGAGCTTTTGGGATTGCTTGCACTGTCTGCAGGATGACCTTCCCCCGGGGGATGGAATGTCTCTCCCTTATCTAAGAGACAGTTTTTCAGCAGTTCCAAGAAGGGTCCACACCCATTTGCACGCTCAGGTGACCCTGACGACACAGATAAATCTCCAGGTGACCTCAACGACTCTCTAACAGAATGCAAATGACCAGCTGTCTGCAAGGAGGATAAATCCTTCCATTCCCCACCACCCAGTCAAAGCTGAAGAAGCTTCTTGGCTGAGAAGTGAAACATCTTCAAAGAAAAACAAGAAAGTCCAGTTGCCTTGTGAAAAAGCAACTTTGGATAACTATGACATGGTTGACTGAGAATCTCCATAGACATTTAGGTGACTATTAGTTCAGCAGTAGCCTTTTCTGAATGAGGAAAAGGACTTTTTTTTGCCAATTCCCTTTCTCCTTCAGTTCCCCTCATATTCCAAAAATCTGCTCTGGAGAGTTGGCAGATAAAGGTGGGAAATTGCCCTGCAGTTTTGATGGTGTAAGGGGAAGGTTGCCTTCTAAGGCCCTGGCTGCAGCATAAACCCACCTTCATTTCCTTTTTCTGTCCACAGCATTAAAAAGTGATCCAGGCAGTAGGAAAGAGGTTCAAAGATCTTGCTTATGAAACTATATTTTGTGAAAACGTTTTGATACAAGAATCCTTTCTGGATTGCACATTTAAAGAATATTCATAAAGATGATATTTTAAAAGTACCTTTTAGTTACTTTAAATATTAACAGATGGAAAAAAAATGTTTACTGTATATACAAATGTATGGATTGAGGCTGCGCATTACACAATCTGTAGCACCTTTAGGTTATTCTTTTATTTAGCTTTAATGTTTTTGCAATATACCCAAAATTTAGGGTGAAAGTGTTTGGCTAGAGAGCAGTCTTAAGTATCCTTTCTTGAGGCTTTCAGAAGAGACAGAAAAAAAAGAATTCTAGGCCATTTTGTTTTTCTTAGGGGGAAAAAGAGGGGGACGCAGCCATATTTAGGACTGTTTTGAGATTCTCTTTCAAGAAGGAAACCAGAAATTTTGGAGGTGGGGAAATCTTTTAACATAGTCATGGTAGGTAGTTAGTAAATCTGTAAATCTTTTTAAATACAAATGTGCTGAAATGGAAGCTACCAGAAAAGTAGTGTGGTACATCATTGTGTGACAGAATAGGTTCAATTTCTAGAGCAGTGGTTCTCAACCTGAGGGTCGGGACCCCATTTGGGGTCGAACGACCATTTCATGGGGGTTGCCAAACAACGCACTCCACCATTTTTCCCCCCTTTTCCTTAGCTGTGCTACTCCCTTTTATTCTATTGGCTTTTGAAAGCCAATAGAATAGACTCTCTTGAATAGAGTCTAATTCTATTGGCTTTCCAAAGCCAATAGGAATTGTCCAGGCTGTCTCTGCCCTGCTGAGCCCGCCAAAAGTCCCATTCTGCAAACGGTGCTGCACCAGTTGAGTAGTCCTCGATTTACAACCGGTTGAGTAGTCTTCGACTTACGACCGGTTGGGGGTCGCGGCATTAAAAAGGTTGAGAACCACTGTTCTAGAGAGAGGATGTTTCCTTGTCATCTTTAAATGATTTTGTATGATAGGTGACTGAAGAGCACTGAATGCCTACAAAATAAGGACACTGCATCTTTTTGAGTCAATTATCAGCAACAGAAGAAGGGAAACAATTTTAGTAATTTCCCTATCATCATCACAGTAGTTTCCTGATCCTCCTTCTGCATTTTATCCAATCTTCTAAATTAAATTAGGGATTGATGGAGATTTACAAAAACTTGCCACCCTCCCTGTACTGCATCAAAATTGGTATTGTATCAAAGAACACTTTATACCAGATAGATACAACACATTCTTCGTAGAAGCCATTACTAGCCATGTTTTAGTTCCAATATGTTATAGTTTGATTGTCTACTATTTTCTTTAGGACACCAGAGTTATGAGAACCACTAAAGAAAAACCATATTTACACAACCTATTTAAACTGCTTGGATATGCATTTCCTTCCCCTTCTGAATGTAGAAGCATCATTTGTCCTAGAGACCTCCATGCACTTACTTTCTAAACAGTAATCTTCATGGTTCATTGAGAAAAGCCATGGCATTTCAATTAGTGCAAAATTGATTCGGGTTTCTAATGCAGCCATGGTTAAATATCACAATGAAAAGCACTAAGTGAGTAAAGTCCAACTTTTTTAGTTGTCATGTAAATTATTTCTTAACCAAGGGTCTTCTTTGCCTTACATCATTTTGTGATGTATTCATCATAAAAGTGTCAGCCAGAGCAAATAAGCATAAGCAAAACAGAAAATCGAAAAGGATGAACATCTCACTGTCTTCCTCCAAACCAACATACACTTTAAAGCAGGGGTCTCTTATCAACTTTAATTGGGTATTTCTAGTTTAACGAAGAGAAGGACGGAGGGGGACATGATAGCAGTGTTCCAATATCTCAGGGCTGCCACAAAGAAGAGGGAGTCAAGCTATTCTCCAAAGCGCCTGAAGGCAGGACAAGAAGCAACGGATGGAAACTGATCAAGAAGAAAAGCAACCTAGAACTAAGGAGAAACCTCCTGACAGTTAGATGGAACAATGGAACAACCTGCCTCCAGAAGTGGTGAATGCTCCAACACTGGAAGTTTTTAAGAAGAGACTGGACAGCCATTTGTCCGAAATGGTATAGGGTTTCCTGCCTGAGCAGGGGGTTGGACTCGATGACCTCCAGGGTCCCTTCCAACTTTATTATTATTATTATTATTATTATTAAACTTGTGGGCTTCAGTGACTGGCTGGGAAATTCTGGGAGTTAAAAGTCCGCAAGTCTTAAAGTTGCCAAGGTTGGACACCCCTGCTTTAAGTAATCCTTGTGGCATTTCTATATTTTACAGTGAACATTTTAATTTTTGGTTCTATTAGTTTTGACATGCACTTGTCACCTATCATTATAAAGCCTTTTCTCTTTTCCATTTTGAATGTGACAATGACTTCCAGTGCTCAGAAATATATATTTCTTTTAAATTTTTGCACAATTACCTTGCGAAGTCTGTCATCTCCATCATAATCACACACATCCGTTTAGCGAGAACGATGATGTCATTGCTGGTGTCATCCCATATTTCAATCTCCTTATCAAGCTCACTCTTGACTTTCTTAAAATCAGCCACTTGTTCAGCTATCTTCTCTTTTTCCGCCTCGGGCAACTGAGTCATCTTTGCCTGCAAAATCAAGATAATTTGATCTATAAAACATCTGCCTATCAGAGGACATCCTCCTTTTACGACTAGAAGGGACTTTAACAAATTATTGCTGTAAATAAGATGCGACTGTGAAACGGCTAAGATCTAATCCACAAATATTTGGGCCAAATTCCTGTAAGAGGGCAAATTTTTATTAGATCTTGACCAAACATCATAGCTAGCATAATTTTATGCACAAATAAACATTTCTTCCTCCAGTATTTTTTTTTTAATTTAACAGGCCACTCAATATCACTAAAAGAAGACAATTTATGCCCAACTACAACTACTTTGCTAAGTGTAACATTGCACTTTTCCCTTCATCAGAGGCATCCAAAGGTGGCAACTTTAAGACTTGTGGACTTCAATTCCCAGAATTCTTCACCCAGTCCACAAGCCTTAAAGTGGGCGGTCCCTCACTGGAGGTTTTTAAGAGGCTAGACAGGCACTTGTCTGAAATGGTATAGGTTCTCCTGCTTGAACAACGGGCTGGACTAGAAGACCTCCAAGGTCCCTTCCAGCTTTATTCTATTCTAAGTTGCCAAGTTTGGAGGCCTTTGTCCTACAATAAAGGAAAGCAAGTTATGTGTAGCATGTAAAGAGATATAGCGGAATAGACCACAACACTGAGGGAGACAGCTCTGTGCAGATTTCAACTTGTTTTTATTTCTTCCTAATCTGACTATTTAACTTTTGATTGAATTAATCAAAAGCAATTTGCTGTGGCGGTTAGGCTGCCAGTAAGGTGTGGTGTTTGGCGTTTCTCTTCACTGCCATCTAGTGGTCATTCAGAGGATTTGATTATCTGAAATACTACCTCTCTCCATATGTGTTTGTCCAGCCATTACAATCAGCAGAGAAAAGCCTTTTTGATAATGCCCACATTTTCCAAGTTCTATTTAGCACTCCAAGTTTTGAATATATTTCAGCATTACAGTAGAAGAAAAAAAGTAGACCAGGCAGCTGGATCCAGATCTTCTTCAGAAGCTTGCAAAGGGACCCAGGTCTCTAATTATATGTATGCTTATTATACACATGCTTAAACTATGTATTTAATCCATGTGATCAAAATAAGCAAACATGTTCCAAATAGCTCCTCACTGAACAATCACCATTCTCATTTATTCTTAAGTTTCTTTTTTCTCATTTAGGTCTCACCCATCTTTTCATGTCACTAAACAGAATAACATTTCTCTGAAATGCATTCATTGAGAACAGGGGTCTTCAAACTTGGCCCTTTTATGTGCCTGGCTGAGGAATTCTGGGAATTGAAGTCCACAAGTCATAAATGGGCCAAGTTTGAAGACTCCTGATTCAGGTTGTTTTTCCATTATCACCATTCACTGGAACCTAGCATGCAACTATTACCAATCTATACATTCTTACTTTCTTACTTTCATATCATAGTGGTATGTGGTTGTATACCACTATATATTCTGAAAACAACGTAGATGACACCAGTTCATACTTTCTGACATTTTAGCTCATTTGTTCATAACTGAACCAAAATGTTCACTTTCATAGATTCACAAAGTGCGCTTCATAAGATCATATCCCCTTCATTCAGATCTATTCCAACTTTCCACTTTCTTTTAGGTCAGTGGTTCGCAACCTTTTTAATGCCACGACCCCCAACTGGTCGTAAATTGAGGACTACCCAACCGGTCAGAATGGGACTTTTGGCGGGCTCAGCAAGGCAGAGACAGCCTGGACAATTCCTATTGGCTTTTGAAAGCCAATAGAATTAGACTCTATTCAAGAGAGTCTATTCTATTGGCTTTCAAAAGCCAATAGAATAAAAGAGAGTAGCATAGCTAAGGAAAAGGAGGAAAAAAATGGCGGACTGCATTGTTTGGCGACCCCCGTGAAATGGTCGTTCGACCCCAAATGGGGTCCCGACCCACAGGTTGAGAACCACTGTTTTAGGTTTACAAATACCAAACACAAGTATTTTTAGTTTAGTCATTTGTAAATTAATGCTCTGTTCCATGTATTCCTTTTCCCATTTCAGTGGCAATCTTCTATATACTGTATACCATGGTGAATATCAACTGAGTCTTTAGATAATGACCTCTGCTACCCATTTTGGGTTTGGAAAATTGAGACTTTCACTTATTTTGCAGTCAGTACACAGAGTGATGCTGTAACGTAGGGATTAAGGTATTGAACTAGGGTGGGGAAAATTCGCAGTCACACAATCTATATTCTGAACATGACCGAGCCCAAATTATCCTACTTCAGACACATTATGCAAAAACCCAGCGCTCAGGAAAAGTGACTAATGCTGAGGAAGGTGAAAGGAAAAAGAAAATGATCAGCAGCAAGGGGGATGAATTTAGTTACAATGGTGATAAATGCACCACTGGAAGACCTGAATGAACAGATTAGGGATAGATCAGCAGGGGGGAAAAAATCTACTTATGTGATCTCTATAAGTCAAAAACAATGATGTTACATGACTAAGCAATCAACCATCCTGGCTTGCTTACGCATAGTATGAGCTATGTTTGGAATACAATTGGACTATGGTTGCACTTGTGGTATAATGGCCTCTTAATTTTCTTTTGGGCTATTATTTTCTACGTCCTGAATTCTAGCCCTGAAGCGTGGAATGCTGTAGACATATTCTAAAAGCCTTTTAGGAGAATGAGATATGCTCCTCGTTTATAGAAGGAAAGCACTCAATATGAAGAGATGGGGACAGGAGAGATGCAGTGGAAGCTGGATCCACAACTCCTATTGCCAAGCAGTCTACCTGAATTTGACTACCGTTGAAGGAATAACGTTATATGAAGATACATTGAGATTGTTCCCCAAGGCATGACATGTGAATATACTAGTCAGTCATTTTTAAGGTCCATGTTCAATTTTTCCTTCTAGTTATGCTTTAATTTCCAGGGATTGCCTGGAAGCTCCTTTTTAATGATTGCCATCTTCTTTGCAGCTGTCAAGGATGATACCATCTGCCTTGCCAAAAGGCGATCAGAATGAATTGCTCTGAAATTGCAGTGGAACTGTTCAAAATGTTAAAATAGTAAAATGCCTGACGTGTTCAGAAAGAAGATGGTAGCTTGAAGATACAAAGATACAAAAATTCAGTTGTTCAGTTTACTGCCCAAAAACAAGCTCCTCACAGTCTGGAACTAAAAAGAAAAACAAGAGAACATGACCTCATTCTCACTTCTACATTTACTAGCGATAGGGAACAACTAGCTTTCCCCTAATAGTTTCCTACGTGCACCGCAATAAATCCTCTAACATAAGCAAACAACTGTCCTATCAGGGCTTTTTAAATAAAAGTAGGCCACAACCTCAAGAGCCTACATGCTTGAGCAAGAAAGACCTAGAACCAGCCAAGTATCAGAAGGCAGAGCTGATGGGTTCAACATGCTCATGAATGGTGTCCTACATTGGAAGTGGCCACCTCTGATACTTGGCTTTCTGGGCAATGGGAGGGAGTGCCCATCTCACGCTTAGTTCCACATGCTTTTGGGTATTCACTGGTGATAAGGATTGCCATCACCCTGAACAATTCTAAGCACATTACTGCTTAAAGGAGCAGAGGTGGCGCAGCAGTTAGAGTGCAGTACTGCAGGCCACTTTTGCTGACTGTGTTCAGCAGGTCAGCGGTTCAAATCTCACCGGCTCAAGGTTGATTCAGCCTTCCATCCTTCCGGGGTAGGTAAAATGAGGACCCAGATTGTTGGGGGCAATGTAAATATATAAATATGTTGCTTACTGGTGTACATCGCTTAGAGAGTGCTTGCACTTAAAGCGGTATATAAGTCTCATAAATAGATAAATAAATAAATAATTTCCCATGAAAAGCCAAGCAGAGCAGCGCCCCGTTCTAAAATAACATTAATATTGAAACAATGACCTGCCCATCCATCCCTCTCTTCTGTTCTGTGCTATTTTAAAATTTCTCTTGAAGGATAGGGGGAGGACCAGGGTGTGGTTCAAAAGACACAAAATAATCACCTGAGAAGGTTGAAAATCTTCCCCAAATCACATCTCAGGTCCCTTTTGAGGTTTTCTAGGCACTGAAAGTATTCAGGTGGAGAAGGCAGAATTTAACCAATTTATAGATTTACCATATTTTTCCGTGTATAAGACACTATTTTTTTCCTGCAAACACCCTGTTCAAAAGTCAGGTGCGTCTTATACAAGGGCAGCATGTTATACACAGAAAAATAATGGTAACCTCCACAGCCCAGGGCATGCCTGTGTGGGTTGCCATGCCGCCTGGTGCAGGCGTCAAGCCCCTGTGGGCTTGCCACTAATGGGGGGGGACTGGGCAAGATCGTTGGATGGTGGCATCCGGAGGCAGCAGATGCGACCAGCAGCATGGATAGCAGCGATAGCCCTTTCCCTCCCTCGTACCTGTATGCTGGCCAGGGACCCTGTGGAATGCAGCTGCAAGGCTGTCCCGCTTGATGATAGCAGCTGGCCGAACTTCTGGATTTGCTGGCTTAGCTGTTCGGCGCTCCACCAAACTACTGATTGGTGCAGAGAAATGGTGGGGAGTTTAAAACCTGCCTTTGCTTCCCTTGCCTTGCTGTCATGCCGGTGCTCACGCCGGTTTGTTTACCAGGGTCGGAAGGCCGCTGCTGTGAACTGACTATGCATGCTTATCGTGCCGGATGCTGGTTAGGTGGGTGGGGGATGGGGTTGGCCAGGAGGCATCTATTTAGAGTGTTGGGAGATGATTGCTCCCAGCGCTGACTTTGTTTGCTGTAAGCTTGGAACTCGCATGCCAGAGCGTCCTATACAAAGGTGCATCATACACAGAAAAATATGTAGGTCCAGTTCTGCTACTTAAATGTCATAATAACCTTAAACATTATCATTTCTTTCATATATTTTGAAGTTTATTGTTCCTGGTGTTTCTAATGTTTTCTTTTTATACCCCTTGGATGATAATAAAATATCTATCTACCTATCTCTCCGGCACTGGATGCAAATTAATATTGCAATGG